GTTACCTTGTATGCTTTTTTATTAATCACAAAAAGATTGTGGATGTCATCCAAGACGGGCGGTGCAACCCAAAATGGATGTAGCCCGCACCACTCCGGTGCATTCAAGTGAATGGAGCAGCGAAGTGTGGGCCTACTCTTACATGTTTAGAACAAGCTCTGCTTTTTTTATCCGCTGGTAATTTTTAAATTATAAATATGGTCACTTAATTTTGTAAAACAAAAAACTATGAGTAGCATCCGTATATACTTGACAGAATACACTGAAGTGGATTTCTTGTGCGTGTTGGTGAGGCAGCAGCGGCTGCGTGTGTCCCTGTCCCTCGCTAGCCCTGCATGTATCTCTCCTCCTGTCATGATTCCGTTCTGTTCTGTTTAGTCTCCAGCAGGTGGCAGAGGTGTTCCAGTCGTTTCTGCTGCGCACCTGTTACTCATTGGGATTGACGGACTATTTAAGCACTTCCCTGCCGACAGCTGAGCGCAGAGTAATTCCCCTTGCTCATGCCATTTGTTCAAGTGCAGTTTCCTCGACGTTCTCGATACTGCTCCATATTCTCATTCTCTGTTCTTGGTTCTCTGTTGTACTTTAGTAGTTTGTTTGTTATTACTTTCCGGTTTTGAATTTTCACGAACGGGTCATCTTGTCCTTTGTTGACAAGCTATTTTCGTTTGTATTTTTTTCCCTTGCCTTCTGCAAGTGCTTGTGCTTTCTCTCGTTTTCTCCTGGTGTGCCTACCGGCGTCATTATTTGTACTTTGTTGGCTTTGCGCCATTTTTGCTGTAAAATAAATAACCGTAACAACTCCCTGTTGCCCTCAGCAAAATTATTCAGATATTTTTTCTGTTGATCAACACCAAACTTGCAAGTGCTAATGTGGTTGGTTGAACTGAGATTTACATGCAAAACAACACTGGAGGACAATATTTATTTATATTAAAATATTGAATGTTCTGATTTTGATTTCAATACATGCACGATAAAGACATATCGCTGTGGCCAAGAGCTGTGAGTCGCGACCGAAACAACAAGCGGCCGATATGAGTTTGTACTGCAGGGTGTCAGGGTTCTTACTTCGAGCTAGTATCAGAAGCTCGGTCATCTGGGAGGGACTCAGAGTAGCACAGACGCTCCTCTACATCGAGAGGAGCCAAATGTGGTGGACCAGACATTTGATTAGGATGCTTCCTGGATGCTTCCCTTGTGAGGAGTTCTGAGCATGTCCAACTAGCAGGCGGTTCCAGGAAAGACTGGAAAGTCTATGTCTTCCGGTTGGCCTGGGAACATCTTGGGATCCCTCCGGAAGAGTTGAAAAAATTGGCTGGTGAGAGGGAAGTCTGAATTTCCCTCCTGAAGCTGCTGCCTCCACATATTTATTCAAGGTTCAGATCTTTTTAAAACCAAAAAAAGATCCTCTGCATGGATAAACATCACAGTCTACAAACCTAATCAGTGGAAAAGGTCTCAACGTTGTCACTGTTTGTGGACGACTCATCTCCTACTTCACATTTTAGTGAAGTTGGCCTAAATTGCCAGACTTGTGACAGTCAAGCTGCTTATCCATGTGGAAGAGGATGCTGCTGATACTGAGTGTTTGCTGACAACGGGGTGGGTGAGGGCGCTCTTCATCTGGCTGTATACCATCTAATTTGTAGCCAGATGAGTCAATTACTAGTAAGAGTCAAGGTTTAGTCAGCTGCATCCAAATTGACACAAAGTCTATGAAGGGTAAAGGAAAGGAGGTTGTGACTCAAGTATGAAAAAACACTTAGCTTCGAACGGGAGTATGTTGAAGGAAAAGAAGAGAGAGAGAAAAAAAAAATAGCATATGGGCCGAACTTGGATCCACTCACGCATGGTGGAATGCTGTGTAATCAGCACAAGCCATTACAAACAACAAGGCCTTTTATTGGAGGCTGAGCTTTTGGGTAATCAAACATGCTTTAAAAGGGTGATGATACACACGTGGACCATTCCTCAACTTCAAGAAGCCCAAAACAATTTAATTGGGTGTGGTCCAACATGAGTCACGGCAGCAGTAGCGCGGTGCTCGGAATTGAATAAGGAGAGGGAAATGAATATGTGACAGAGCTTGCACCTCATGGGATCAACTCCATAATCCAGTGGCAGTGACTAATTGCATGCTTCAGGCTTTGTCAGTTTGGGAGAGAGATCACATTTTCTTCAGCCAGCATTCAGCTTCTAGGCACCTGCTAAATGTTCAAGGAGTTCTCTTGGCAATGATGGCCAGTCCCCTAAACTCCCAAAAGTAAACAGTAAATAAATAAATAAATAAATAAAAGAAATCCACATTTGTTTAGCAGATGCTTTGGAGCAATGAAAAGATGTGAAGAATAAAAAGCAAAGAGCCCATGTGGTTAAAGAGAAAAAAAAAAATTACTTTTATCGCTGCTCTTCTGAAAATGGAACGTGAGGCAAGCCAGAGAGGAAAGAGGCTCCTCGACGATTAAGAAGGTATATTGTTTTATTTTAACAGGTGCAAGCAAAGCAGGCATACTGAAAAGAATAGGGTGAACGCCCCCGCTTGGTAACTTTCAAAATAAGAGCAACCTCGCTATTTTAAGCCATTTTCCCCATTTCTTACATTTTTAGGTGGTCCTTGCTGGAGGGATTTACATGCTGAGACTTCCTCTGAAGGTGGGAGGCAACCGAGCTGATTCACAGCATCGAGCTTACTGTATCTCGGGCGCAAAACACAATCACGATTCAGGCAAAGCTTTTGCCTCCTCAGACTGACACCAGCGAGTTTGAAAGCTTCTCCCAAGGCACAGCCCGGGGAGTAGATCTCTTGAAGGGATGATGTTTGGCTTTAGAAGTCAGACAGTAAAAACTAAGACGAGGAACCAACCAAATCATGAAATTCGAAATCATCTACAGCCCCGTGATAGCATTGCATGCATTGCCGCACACTCACGATAACCTCACAACACAAACAACTCCTCTATTCAGCGGGCCATGTGAGACATCAGTGACGACAAGCAACCCTGAGTGGAACTTCCAACAGTTCAACTGATCTGTATTCAGGTCCACACCCAGCAGCACCTCGTGTCCACATCTAGAGAATTCACTGAAATGGGGCAGCCTTGCCCTCCACATCCTTCACATCCTCTGAGCCATCACGGCGGATATTTGATATCGGTAGAACAAGATATCATCGAGGCTAGTCTTAGATTGTGCATATTTGTGTGCGTGTGTATAGTGTGTGAATCAGCCAAACTGGAGGTACGTTGAAATTTCAGGTGCACAGCCTTTTATAATAACCTGCTACAGCAAGTGGAACAGTATTATTTTCATATGCCCATTTTCAGTACAATTTATCATGTTCGGGAAAACAGGGAGGCTGGAATCGACCCATCTGACAGGGTGGGGCACACCCTGGACCGATCACTTGTCAGGTACATGGTGAACACTTCGAGACAGACAGTAATTCACAGAAAGGCCCAAGCGGATACATATTGGACCCCAATACTTTCTTGTAGAGGCTAAAAAAAGCAACCCAATGATCCGTACTGCTGCTGCATATGTTTCCTATAACGTGAACAACCAAAACCAAGGTTTAGAGGTTGAACCTGTCATAATTCAAAATAAACTTTCATTGAAAAGTGTGTTGCAATTAAATACATCAGCACATCCAACTCAGCTTCCAGTTTTTTTTTGGGGGGGGGTCAAAAACAACGTTTGTAATATAAGGCTTCCGAAAAACATGCAAAACATGTTTTTGCATTTTTATTTATTTATTTTACAATTAACAGCTATTATGAAATCACATACTGTAAATATTCTCTTATGGGTAGTAAATACACTCTATGGGGGAATATTAATTCATATTCAAATAAATCAAAGCTCTTAAACCCTCCTGGGATAGATGTTCCAGTACAGAGCATCCGTCCACCCATGCATCCATTTTCTAATCCGCTAATCCCTATTAGGGTCGCGGGCGTGCCAGAGCCTATCCCAGCTGTCTTCGGGCAGGAGGCAGGGGACAGCCAATTGCAGGGCACACAAACAACCATTCGCGCGCACAATCACACTGAGGGACAATTTGGAGTGCCCAATCAATCTTCCATGCATGTTTTTGGAATGTGGGAGGAAACTGGAGCATTCGGAGAAAACCCACTCGGGCACGGGAGAACATGCAAACTCCACACCAGAAGGCAATAGGCAGAATCAACCCCTGCACCTCTGCACTGTGAGGTCGACATATTAACTGAGAGCATCCACGTCAGCTCCAAACTGATTAAACTCTTTCCTATTCTAGTGTCCTATTCTAGCGAAAAAGTTTACATATTTGTTGCATCTTTAATAGCTATTTATTACATAGGACCACACCTCACCCATCGCAAAAAAATCTTATTTAAACCATAAGGACAGCTTCCTGTAAAGCTGGCATTTTGCCCAAATGATGGAAGCGGGTGAACTCGGGATGGAGAAGAGGAGGGAGGCGGAGACAGCGAGTCATGACCACACAACCATTCTTGTGCCTTACATTTAAAACTGCGACATCACACTGTATGTACCATCGCCAAAGTTGGCATGCAAAACCATTACTGGACTGTATTTTATTCACTTACAGATGCAAGACTCATTAGATACCTTCATTAAACCTACCGTAAACATGATGCAAGAGGCGACGCTCTGCAACGGACGGACACCTAACACGTCCAACGGTGCAATGAGAAACTAGGAACAATCACATTAAATGTAGATATCATCTAAACGTGTGTCAAAACTTCAGTGGTACTAACGAGCCGAGCTAGCTTGCATTTGTAGTCGACTCAAAGCGTCTTGTTCGCAACATACTCGGTAGTGTCGCACCCCCCGAGATAGACTTGCAAGGGGGGAAAAAACAGCCCCCCCATTGTGTCCTCTTTTCGGCTGTTTACAAGCACTCCGTTGAAGTGCGTGTCGAACTCGTGTGAGCAGGAAAAAGTGAAGTTTGGTTGTTGTTGTTGTTTTTCTTTGGATTCAATTTTATTTTTTACCTGAGGAGAGCCGTGTCGCCTTGCCTGCTGACCACACTTTCCACGGAGGAATAGTCCACAGTTTGTCCGGCGGGCAAGCACGGCGATAGGAGGCAGCCCAGGCTGAGGAGGATCGCACTTAGCCACTGACCAGAGAAACAAGCATCCGACAGCGCAATCATCGTGTCCGTCACAACTGGACGTAGCCGCCGCTCTTGCCCAAGTCTTGCCAAAATTTGGAGCGAATATGAAGAGAAAGTCTTTATTTCCACGCTCCACGCAGCCGACTATGGACGAGCGTTGAGTTGTCCCGGGTTCGTTCGATGCTGTGAGTCCACTGTGCGGGGAAGTGTACTCTCCAGTGGCTTGCACACCATCTAGCGAGGAAAGGCGGTTTAAAATGGGAGCAGAGCTAGAAGCAGACAACCCCCAAGCTCCGATCCTGTTGCCATGCGGCCGTTTCCCCGGCAACCCCGTTCCCAGTGGCTGACGATGGAGCAGCGAGACCGCCTGGTATTGATACAACCCAGGAGCAATTAAAGATATCGACTTGAGAACCAACCCTATTATTTATTGCTATTAGGAAAAAAAAGTGAGGTGAGCTTTTGGTGCGAAATGGAGTTAATATCTTATGGTGATATACAGATGAACTTTAAGAAAAATGATTTTACAATGCAATACATATTGTAATTGTTTAGCTTGGATTGAGCCCACTTGCAACAAAATAATGAGAGAAAATGTTCAAGTAAGCACCGTATCATAACAAATTTACCCAAATAAATAATTGCTGAATAAAACACGACTAAAAGAACAGCAATTACAGTGGGACGACTATCGTATGTCTAAAAGAAAATATAAATACAGTACAGTACAATGGAACGTCTGGAGGACAAGCCATCTTTTTCATGAAGATGGTCAACTTCTGATTACTTGAAATAATTTGTTCCCTTCGGAAGTATGGACTAAAATTTAGCTGTCACCATTAAACCATTGACTGTACAGGGCAAGGGTGTGGTGGCCATTGGGAAATTCGGAACACCAATTGAACAGATCATTGCTTGTCATTGTGGGACTAACAAAGCCGCATTGTAAACTCAGTACGTCTCTGGTACAGACACTTTCAGTGCTATTTTAACTTTACTAGACATGTCACACACTGAGTGAAGAGGCATAATAGAAAAAAAAACATGTTTGTGCATATTGCTATATTGTCTTCTTGTATTCTAATATTTCAGTATATAAAGCTTTAGACCACATGTACAACATACGTGTTTGTTTGTTTTGTTTTTTTTACCCTGTTGATAGTGTTTCACATTATGTGTTTGCTTTCAGCCAGCAGACATTTCGACAACATTTTGTGTTTTGGACTATTAAGACCTGTTCCCGATCTGACAAATTGCACACCAGAAGTTACAAAAGCAGGGATGTGTTCCTCGAGCCGGTCCTTGGCCTCGAGGACCGGCTCGAGGACCGAAGGTCGGTCCTTGGTCCTTGGCCTTGGCCTTGGAAGTCAATTCCTTGGCCTTGGCCTCGGCCTTGGGAGTCAAGTCCTTGGCCTTGGCCTTGGCCTCGGGTTGCCAGTCCTCGGACATAATGAGGGAATTGAGCCTCGACTCTCTTGTCCGCAGGTATAAAGTGGTACGCAAACACCACGAAGGAATCAAAGAAATTCCATCCAGTAAGACGCGCATTGATGGATTAAGCTGGCGCTTTAAAAGGGGCGGGTCTGCCACTGACAGGCGACAGTTAGCGCAACGAATAAAGAGCGGCATCACAGTTAGTTTCAATCACGGTTTGTTCCGTTCGCGATCGGCAGTTTAAATAGCGTGTAAAGTCTTTCTGTAAAAGTGGTGTCTTATATGTAGTTATTTTTGCACAGTCATCACGTTTCTGCGGTGGCACTATAATGTTTGTTTGAACCAAGTAATTTGCGTTACAGCTGGAGTCAATAATGCCGGCATTTCACTTCCGGGTTTGGCCGTTGGGATTTGGAGTCCGTTTGCTCGATTCCATGTATGTTTTTGGTGAATGCTTTCTCATGTTTGGAATAATGAATATTGATAATACATAGTTTAAAATCATGGTTGATTTAATTATTTTTTATTATTATTGTGAAGTGGAAGGTATTAAATTAATTAATGTAGTATTAGTGGGAGTGGTAATAATAGTAGTACTCAGAGAATGTTTAGAGATCAGCCATCTCGTTACCACTGCGTCCCGTGTCCGAGACGCAAAATTAACCCACAGGAGGCACAGTTCCAAACAATCAGTGTTGTGTCCAAGGACCGGCAACCCGAGGCCAAGGCCAAGGACTTG